TAGAGATGGTCCTTAAAAAGTTGTGCCAAGCACGGTGGCTCACGCCTGTAATCCCAGCACTTTGGGAGGCCAAGATGGACGGATCAAGAGGTCAGGAGATCAAGACCATCCTGGCCAACATGGTGAAACCCTGTCTTTACTAAAATTACAAAAATATTAACTGGGCATGGTGGCCCGCTACTGTAGTCCCAGCTACTCGGGAGGCTGAGGCAGGATAATCACTTGAACCCAGGAGGCAGAGGTTGCAGTGAGCCGAGACCATGCCACTGCACTCCAGCCTGGCGACAGAGCGAGACTCCATCTCAAAAAAAAAAAAGTAAAAAAAAAAAAATGTGCATAGAGAAAAATCTAGTTTGAAAGACAATAAAAATAGAATTTGCCCATTTAATGTCTATCGGGTGAGAGCTACTGCTGAACCAGGAGGATCTACAATGGTCTCTTTGTGCCATCCAGTGGACAGTAAGGGAAACACCATGATTTTGTCTTCAAAGTCTATAATTTATCAAAAATATGTATGCTGGTGAGAATAATTTCAGCTCACTACTAGGTTCATTGTTAATAAATTTCATTCTGTTTGTTTAAGCAAAATAAAAAAACCATTCAGCTTATGTGATGTGCACTAGAAAGATGGTCAACTAAGGGTTTCGAAAGAGAATACTCACCAGTCCTTATCTGCAGGAATTCTCATCGCCCATCTTTCCCATTCTTCTTGTCCTTCTCCACCAATACTCCTTATGCTTATCTGATACATAGACTGAGAGTGCCCCAGAGACTCAGGGTGCATCTGCCCCAACACACCACTAGATCTTGGCTGGGACAAAAGTCGTTCTATTCATTTTCCAAGACTGCAACTATCACTTAAAATTTTGCTGTAATCAACTGGGCATGGTGGCTCATGCCTGTAATCTCAGCACTTTGGGAGGCCGAGGTGGGTGGATCACCCGAGGTTAGGAGTTCGAGACCAGCCTGACCAATATGGTAAAACCCTGTCTCTACTGAAAATACAAAAATTAGCTGGGTGTAGTGGCGTGTGCCTGTAGTCCCAGCTACTCAGGAGGCTGAGACAGGAGAATTGCTTGAACCCGGGAGGTGGAGGTTGCAGTGAGCCAAGATCACGCCACTGCACTCCAGCCTGGGTGACAGAGTGAGACCCACGTCTCAAAAAAAAAAAAAACAAAACCAAAACCAAAAAAACCCAACGGTTTTGCTATAATCAAATTGAATATTTGTCAAGAGCCTGTGTGTTTGGCATGGTTTTTTCTGAGGGGTGTTTGGGTGTATGTGTGTGTGTTTGCTCTGTTTCTTTTTAAAACCATTTATTATCCTTATAATCTGTTTCCTTCCCTGAGTGTTTATGAGGACGAGACAATGGCAGACAAACCTCCCCCAAATGTAAGTAATAATAGCACACCTGGAGTGCCCAGAGCTGTTTTGAGACCCTCTCTTTAGTATTGTTGTAATTGCTATGCACAGTAATCATAACAGGTACTATTTGTTGAATTCCTGTCGTGTACCAGGCATTTTTCTTTATCAGAAGTTTTGCTAATCCTCATGTCAAGACTGCAAAATCGATGTTATTATCTCCAGTATAGAGATAAGGAAGCTGATGCTCAAGAGGTTAAGTGATGTATCCAAGATCACACAGCTAGTGAGTGACAGAGTGAGAATCAGGTCTGACTGCCCTCAGGTCTGACTGACTCCAGAGCACCTTCTCCTGCCGTGGGGCAATGGGCCTCTCAGTTGTTCCATCACGCGCCTGTGACTGGCCAGACCCTGAGTCTGAGATTTTGGGGTCTCTTCAGCGCTGCCAGCTCCTTAGTGCCTAAGACTCTTAGGACCTCAGAGCCTATGACCAGTGAATCCAGCAGGGGATTAAATATGCAGATGATGTACGACAGCAAAAGTCAGCCCACGGGTTGGGTGCGATGGCTCACACCTGTAATCCCAGCACTGTGGGAGGCCTAGGCGGGCGAATCAGTTGAGCTCAGGAGTTCAAGACCAACCTGGCCAATGTGGTGAAACCCCATCTCTACCAAAAAATACAAAAATTAGCTGGGTGTGGTGGCATGTGCCTGTGGTCCCAGCTACTCAGGAGGCTGATGTGGGAGGATCCGTTCAACCCAGGAAGTCAAGGCTTCAGTGAGCCGTGATCACACCACTGCACTGCAGCCTGGGTGACAAGCCAGACCCTGCCTCCAAAATAAATAAATAAAAGCCCAGGGCTGGGGCTGGAAGGCCTGGGTGAGGAAGGGAACATGGTCTCTAGGAGTCAGGACACCCAGGTCCTGGCCCTGATTCAGCTCCCACAGGGCCTTGTGTCAGTCCCCACCGGGTGGTCAATTACCATTCCCGGCAGGGCGCCCCCGTGAGCTGCACTTTCCTCCCCAGAGAACCAGGGGCTTTGCCTGCAGGATGCTCTCTAAGGTTTTCTGGTTCTGAGAATTCTGGGTTTCTTCCAGGAGCCCTGGGGGATACCTGGTCAATAGGTTACTGTCTCTGCTGCCAGGAACCCGGGGCCTGGGGGGAGACAAGGCGAGGGCACACCCAGAGCAGCTGCAGTTTGCTCAGGAGAGATGTCGCCCAAGGGCCTGGATGAGATTCCCCCACCTCCGCAGCCCCCCCTCCTGCTTTGTCTCCTAGGATAGAACAGAGCATGATAGGATGGGGTAGGACAGATGAGGACTTCACACACTGTAAGGGTAAACATTGTTTCGTCTGCTTGTGTTTGAATTGTATAAATGTATTTCTGCGTGTATGCTGTGTTAGGGGGTAAAATTTGCATCTCCCTGAGGTTGCACTCTGAGTATGGAAAACCTGGCTCTAGACTAAACCAGATCCCCCATGGTGCTCCAGGCATCCCCAGCCTCACATGTGGCACCCGGTGTTCCTGCTGTCAAAGGCCCACGTGGGTCCTCTGTCTTTCTCTGCATTGTCAGGGCCTGCGCTGACAGTCCCCCCACAGGGAGGTGGAATCTGGGGCTTGACAGCACTGGGAGGATCCTTCCTCTTTCCAGGCTCAGGCAAATCCTTGCCTGGAGGCAGGGAATGGGCTAGATGACCCCTGAAACAGTTCAGTCCAGGGTCTGATAGCCCCTTTGTGCCCAGCACTGTGCCCCCTCCCCTTCCCACGCTTCCCTGCAGGGCCTGCGAGAGCAGGGAAAGCAGCTGCCAGCTCCAGGCAGTCATTTTACCCCAGGTGCCACTTACCCTGAGGAGGGGCTGGAACCAGCTAATCGTTTTACCTGGAGATGCCACTTACCCTCTGGAGGGGCTGGAGCCTGTCAGGTTTTTCAGTTCTTGTGTCGCCTCCCAGCCCTGCCCACACCAGGTTGCGGGTGTGTATGGCTGACAAAGGCCCCTGAGCCAGGCCAACCCCCAACCTCCCAGTGGGTGGCTCTGTGGTCCCTGGCAGCCCCGGCATCATCCGGGGCACAGAGGCCATGGACCCTGGAGACACAGCCCTTGCTATTCACGCAGGGGATGGTCAAGAGCATGGCTCCGTTTGTCCCTCTATCCCTCCCTCACAGAGCTTTCAGCAAGACGATCATTCTTCCATTCTCACTGCTTGCTCCTGGCGTAAGGAGACCCCAGGGCTGGAGGACTTCTCTAAAGAGGAGTCTTGGGATTTCCTCAGATGCTCCCAAGTCCCATCTGGAGGATGAAGGTGGGGAGCACATCCTTGAGGCAGTTTCTCCTCTGCCCCCCACCCCTCGCCTCTCCCACCTCCAGGGGCTAGGAACTTAACCAGGACTTGCTTCAACCTGAGAGGAGGGTGTCCAGCCTCCTCAGAGCCTGCCACCATCAGGGGGATTTCAGAGGGGCCTCCTGGGAGGTGCTGCCCAGCTGCCCCCCCGTGTTACTCACACAGCCCCCACTGATCTGCTCTGGGGGCCGGGGCCCAGAACATGGCTTGTAGGGGACCTGGGACAGCAGCCCAGGAGACACCACTTGTTCATTGCCTGCTCACCCAGATAACTGCAGCTCCCTCCACTGCCGCCTACCGCCCTCCGGCCATGCCTCTGCCCAGAATGCCCTCCCTCTCCAGTCCTGCCCACCCCTGAAGCCCTGCCCAAACCTCCCTGAATTCTCGCCTGAGCAGACACTCTCCTGCACAATTTCCGCCACAGGGATTACTCAGCTGAGCCTCAGTCTGGGGCTGCCCTGTGCTGGGACCTTTCTGCAGATGCTCGGCTCCCTACCCTCGCCCGTGAGCCATGTGGGGCAGAGACTCCATCTCACTCAGAGTGGAGTAAAGAGCAGGAGTGCTGGAGAAGCCAGCTGCCCTGCCACAGGCCAAGAGGATTTGGCCAAGTGACCACTGCTGTCTGTTTCCCCAACTGTAAAGGGGGCTGAGACCCTTACAGGGTTGTGAGGCTTAAACTTTGACAAACGCCTAACATACCACCAGGCACAGGGCAGTTGCTCAGTATTTGGCAGTGGCTGCTGTTCCCCACAGTGTCCAACACTTCCCGGGGATGTAACAGGTGCACCACGGACAAGACTGATGAGTTTATCAGTTCACTGGGGAGACAGGCGGGATGGACGCACTCGCTTGTTCCTCTGATCTTCCCTTATGGGGAGCAGTGACACTTGGCAGAGGCTGCCAGGGAGATGGGAAATGGACATTAATTAGGGGAGAGAAAAGGAGGCAAGGAGAGGAGGGTGAGAAAGAGACAGGGGAGGAGGAAGGGAAGGAGGCATGGTTAGAAGACTGGCAAACACAAAAAATAATGACTGTTTTCTTGGAGGAACAGGGAGGTAGGGCCATGAACAGCATGTGGACGGTCTTCTCTGTGAAGTATGACATTTCAGAGCTGGAAACGCAGCCTGGAGATCACAGACGCCCTCACAGCCCAGCGCAGTGCAGGCCCTGGGAGATCAGGAGTTAGAGATGGGGAGGACCGTGCCTGCAACAGGCACTGCCTGCTACACCCTGCCATAGGCAGAGGGGCTGTCTTCCCACCCCACAGAGGCCCCATCCTTCCCTTTCTCTCCCGAAGGCTGCTCCAGCAGGGAGTTTAGCTCCATGGACACCTTTGAAGACTGTGAAGGTGCAGAAGACATGCAAAAGGAGAGCAGCGCTCTGAGTGTAATTACTTCCCTCTTGTTTCTTTCATCTTCTTCCTCCTTCCTGTTCATCAGCTCCTCCTGCCTCCTGTCCCTCGCCTCCATCCCTCCCCCCCTCCTCAGGATTCTCACCCATAAGGACCTGGTTAAGCCAGGGAGCCGAGGTCACTAGACCCTCCTAGCCTGGCACGTCCCCACGTGGCTGTCTCCTTGGCGGTGCGCTGGTGTCCGGTCATAACTGGGGCTCCTGCTGGGAGCCCCGTGGCCCAGGTGGGAGGATTGGGGTGGGCCGCAGCCTGCCAGCGGGAGTCACCACCTTGCCCGGCCTGGCCACAGCCTCCAGCAATAACTCAGGGTGCACCCGTCCCCTCCCTTCCAGCTCGCAGGCCTTTTCCAGTCGGACGACAGTCACGAAACCTGTTCTTCCAAATCTGCTTTCCTGGAGAGGGGAGAAAGCACCCAGGGAGAAAAAGAAGAACGCGATGAGGAGGAAACGTGAGTGTGAACGAGGAAAGACTAAGCGTCTTTTTGGGCCACGGCGTCTCTGACTTTCTTCTCGGAATTGCAGGGCGACTCGCAGCACCGAGGAGGAGCGCGCTGGGGCGTCCACGGGCCGGCTGGCTCCTGCGGGGGCGACGGCTGGTTTCCAGGCGCGGGCACGGCGCCCGAGGACCTCCGCCCCGGAGAGCTGACCTCCCTGCGGACGTCCCCGCTCCTCGGCTCCAGAGCGCCCGCATTCCCAGGAGAGGCGGTGTGGGGGCCCGGGCCCTGCCCAGCTACGCAGAAAGCAGCCGGGGCCTCGGCGGCGGCAGAAACGGGACGCAGGGCCGCCTTCCGGGAGCCCGAGGGGTGCCCTGAGTGAGCGCCTGGCTCCGCACGGGGGACTTCGGAGCTGCTCTAAGGCGCTTGCAGAGCCCACAGCCCACGCCTTCTCAACCGCACACTTTGACATTCCGAGCCGGGCAATTCTTTGTTGTGTGGGTTTCTCTGTGCTCCCACGGTAGGATGTTTAGCAGCATCACTAGCCTCTACCCGCTAGGGTCCAGGAATGCGCCACCCCATCCTCCACCCCACCCCCAAATTGTGACAATCAAAAATGCCTGCAGACACGCCCACATTTCTCCAGGGCGGGGTGGGAATCGGTTGAGAACCGCTTAGCCTGAGCCTTGGCGGAGCCGGAGCTGCTCAAACCCGGCGGGGGCCGCAGACTGAGAGCTCCAGGTCCCCCTCCCAGAATCCCTGCGAGCATTCATGGGGTGTTCGTGTTAGTGCCAAGATTGCTTCGTTGCAGAGACACTTCGTTCCAGGTTACTTTCTGAGATATTTTATATATCGATTTATTAGTTTTTAAATGAGTTCTGTTATTTTCAATTGTATTTTATTTTTAGTTTTATTGGTTGATTTTAATTTTTTGTAGCTTTCTAGTTATTTAATTTTATAGTTTCAGTTACTGGTTTATAGTTACTTTATTTTCAAAGTTATTTAGTTTTCGAGTTGTTCATTTTCAGTTATTTATATGTAGCCATTTTGTTTTAGGAGTTATAGATGTTCAAATTAATTTGCTTGGAATTTATTTTTCATCATCTTTACAATTATTATCTGAGTTATTTACCTTCATAGTTATTTCACTTTAACTTATTGGAGTTTTTGAGTTATTTATTTTTACAGTAACTAATTTGACTATTAAAAACTCACTGGAAGTTTTTGAACTACTGTAGAGTTATTTATTTTCAGATTGAAATGTTTTAATTAAGGGTTTTCCCCTAGTTATCTAGTTTTAGAGTTGTTTATGTTCACAGGTATTTATTTTCAGTTATTTTATATTTGAGTTGTTTATTTTTATGTTCTTTTTTCCAAGTTATTTGGTTTTTAGTTATTTCATTTTCAGCATTACTTCATATCTGAAAATTATATTTTCTGAATTTTTAAAGAGTTTTTGAGATATTTAGTTTTTGAGCTATTTTCAGAGTTGTTTGTTCTCAGTTATTTCAGTTTTGTATTTGCCATTCAAATTTTTTCTGTTCTTTATTTTTATTTAATTTTCAGATTTTTTTCTTTTTTTTTTTTTAGATGGAGTTTTGCTCTTGTCACCCAGGCTGGAGTACAGTGGCGCAATCTTGGCTCACTGCAACCTCCGCCTCCTGCGTTCAAGCAGTTCTCCTACCTCAGCCTCCCAAGTAGCTGGGATTACAGGAGTGTGCCATCATGCCCGGCTAATTTTTTATTTATTTATTTATTTATTTATTTATTTTTGAGACAGAGTCTCTCTCTGTCGCCCAGGCTGGAGTGCAGTGGTGCAATCTCAGCTCACTGCAAGCTCCGCCTCCCGGGTTTACGCCATTCTCCTGCCTCAGCCTCTGGAATAGCTGGGGGACTACAGGCGCCCGCCATTACGTCTGGCTAATTTTGTTTGGTTTTGTTTTGTTTTTTAGTAGAGACGGGATTTCACCATGTTAGCCAGGATGGTCTCGATCTCCTGACCGGGTTTCGCCATGTTGGCCAGGCTGGTCTCCAACTCCTGACCTCAGGTGATCCACCTGCGCTGGCCTCCCAAAGTACTAGGATTACAGGCGTGAGCCACCGCACCCGGCCCTCAGAATTATTTAGAGTTAGAATTCTTAATCTACTAGTCAGGTTTCAATCAAGAGACACTATATCAGTTATTTCAACAGAGAGAATTTAATATAAATAATTGTTATCCAGCTAGCAGAGATAAAAAAAAAAAAAAAAAAAAAAAGTAGTGATAATGAGATATCATGAAGATTTTGACTACAAGCTCCCAGCCCAAGGACTCATACAATAAAGAGAAGAGGTTGAAAATATCAAAACTCAGAAATGTGAACATAGCCCTAGGGCTGGGGGTTAGTCCTCTGAGGAGGAGGCACTACCAATGGTACATGTGGCCCAAGGGCTCAGAGCCCAAGGTCCAGGAGCTGGATGCAGAATTCTGGGGAGGGGACATGGCCAGCCCATGCTGCTGTCTCTGAGTGGGCATCATCAGGCCGGTTATGGGAGTGCTGGGAAAATAGCAAGCTGGAACCAACTGCCTCTGCTAGAACCAGCTGTCACTCTCAGAGTGGAGACGGGATGCTGACGGTGGGGGCAGGGGTGGGGTGCACACAGGAAGGAGCCCGTGGTAGCCCTGCATCACGGAAGGGTGGGCTGGAAGCTTAATTACCAGCACACTCAGCTTTAGAGTTACATAGAGTTAGAGTTACGTTAGGATTCCGTTAGTTTTGGAATTGTTAGGGGTGATTTGATTTCACATTTTCTCGGGATATGGGATTGGGATGAGTGTCCTGGTTTGTTTCTGGAATAGAGTGGGCCACGCCTCACAGAAGTCTCCCCCAGGAGACACAAGACAATCACTTTAGAATTCAAGAAAACAAAAATAATGTGTCTCACTTTGTTCATAAAGAAGCCCTTTGATGACGTGGCCAAAAAGGGGCAGAGCCTGAGGGACAGACTCTTAGAAAGGTGCCCATGGAACAGGATCCCACAGAGTGTTCCTCTCAAATTCTTTAGAACTTTACGCTGTTTTGTGGGACCACCGTCTCCCACTCCTTTCATAAGAACACAGTGTTTTTCTTGATAGAATGTGTTTCAAATGCGTAGACTGTTTGCACAATAAAATAAAGTTCCTCCCAAATCAAGAATCTGTAATCTTAGGTTCTTCTACCTGCATTATTCTTCAGCCCACATTGTTCCATTTGACCATCAGAATGTTTACATATGTATGTACGTCTGGATGGATGGATGGATGGATGGATGGATGGATGCATGGATGGATGGATACACTCGTTTTATTCAACGCCTATTTCTTGAGCACTCCTGTGCCCTGAGGATGGGTCTGGCACCAGGTAGATACCAGGGAGGTATGAAGATGAGTGAAGCTTTCAGTCCAGTTGGGGAGACAGATGTGGAAACAGAATCACAACACGATGTGGCAAATTCTCTGGGAGCACAGAACACCATCACTGACTCTTCCTGATACAGTCAGGAAGGGGTGACATTGGAACTGGGTCTTACAGGCAAGTGTCTTCTCCCAGTGGAGAAGGAGAAGGGCACCCTGGTGGAGGGAACAGCATGAGCTCAGGTACAGGGGCATGGAGGAGCTGTGCATGGCAGGTGGGACAAGTTGATGGGGACTGCTGGGTCACAGGTTCAGAAAGGCACTAAGCTTAAGGGCTGACCCTGGTGCTTGACAGATCCTGCTTCATTTGGTCCTGCAGCAAGTCTGCAAGATAGTAGGGAGCAACCTCAGGAGTCCCATGCTTCTCCTGACCTTACTTTTCCAAACACAGTGTACATTTCTGGATATCTTAAGCTCCTTCTTGGTTTTATCCATCTCTCACTTTACACTTGTCCATCGGAGGTGAGTTGTGCCCTCTCCTTCACCTTTTGATTCCTGCTTCTTAAATAACTGTAGGGATGGAGGAAGGTTGAGACCAGAAAGCTGTGAAGCACAGACTTCAACTGACAAGGGAGGTAGAGGAAAGCAGGGAGGTGGAGGAGAGCAGGCAGGTGGAGGAGAGCGGGGCAGAGACCTGCTTGCAGGAATGGCGTGCAGAAGTTCTGCAGACCAGCACAGTGGGGAGTGGGCTCCGGACATCACCAACTGTGACTGCCTCCAGCTGCATTCAGCAGCCATGGAAAGGTCGTGGGGATGCCTTTCCCAAAGTGGGAAGCTGCTTTAGATCCAACCCAGGCTTACGAATGCAACAGATTGGGATTTTTTGAAGCACGTAGAGCCCTTCGCAGCATTCATAGCAATAAACATATGTCTCAAGTCGAAAGAAAATATAGTCCTACACAATCTGCAGTTGTGTATTTTTACGCTTTTTATAATACACGTCCATGCATTCCGTCTTGATGTGTGTGTGTTTCCCAGCAGAGTTCTCTGTTTATCGTGTCTATCACAATATATCCATTTCCCTATGATAATCCATTTCTCTGTGAGAACATGTAAGAACTCAGATGGTTTCACATCTTAGCTGAACAGAAGAGTCTGTTGGGTTCTGACCACTTGCCTCAGGAAACACATCATTGTATCCTCTCAAACATTTGTCTGTTGAATAGCCAGCCACTCACTATGGAAACACCCCCCAAAGCATTCTCAGTCCTTTGGATCTCAGCCCTTTTCTGGATCTATGAAGATGTCCACACTTAATAATTCTAGCAGAATGCAAATTGGGCCAAACCTCACAAGCCTCATAGGAAGACCCTGTTTGCAAATGTCATGCCACAGGTGGGTGACCAGGGGAGTCATTCCAATGCCAGTCTTTGCCGGAGGTTCCTGGGCTATTGTCCTCCAGTGATCCAGGATGGTCCAATTTGACCTTTCACTCCAGCCTCCATGTCAAAGCCCCGAGCTGCTGCTCTGCTTGCTGGTGTCGTCTGGGAAAAAGCTACCCTTTGGGGCTCAGAGAATCAGACTCCCCACTGAGCCCATGGTGGGACAGGAATCGTGGGATAATTTTCATAAAGCTGTGCCAGGAACCATCTGTTCCCAGCAGACACGACGTTCCCTATTCTACACCTGGTTGCACTGCTCATTCAGGAAATAGTTGTGCATTTTTAGACTTCTTAAAAACGGGGGAAAAAAGAGTGGCTTTTCTCTGAGTGAAATTTATGTCACCTTATTTAAGTATAAATGGAAGAGAATCCAAAACCACCAGATGAAATCCCTCACACTTAGAAGTTGTTCAGATACTCCATGGCTATATGATGTTTCCTGTTGTCCACCAGAGGAACTCAGATTTCACAATATTGCTGACGATTGGGAAATGCTGTAGCCTCAGGATAAAGTGCCCTGGCTGAAGCATTTGAACTAAAAGCAGACCCAGATCTGTAACATCTGGTGGGAGTCTGAGTTCATATTAAACATCAGCCATGCATTATGAAATATTAGAAAAGTTAGAGATCCTCTAAACCAGCCTTCCCAGAGTATATTTTGCAGAATATGCAGAAGAGTGTAAGAGTTCAATGAATTAACCCCATAACATGCCAAGCAGAAAAAAAAATTAAGAGCAAATGCTTTTTTTTTTTTTTTTAATAGAGTCTTGCTCTGTCGCCAGGTTGGAGTGCAGTGGTATGATCTTGGCTCACTGCAACCTCCGCCTCCCAGGTTCAAGCGATTCTTCTGCCCCAGTCTTCCGAGTAGCTGGGACTACAGGTGCACGCCACCACACCTGGCTAATTTTTGTATTTTTAGTAGATGGGACTTCATCATGTTGGCCAGGATGGTCGCGAACTCCTGACCTCATGATCCGCCTGCCTCGGCCTCCCAAAGTGCTGGGATTACAGGTGTGAGCCACTGCACATGGCTGCAAATGCACTTTTAAATACCACATATTCTGTCCCTCTCTTGGTCGATCTCAATTAGTAGATTAAAGAATCTGAAAACTTCTACAAAAAGGAAGCCTGTATCGTTTTATTAAACTCACCATTTCCTAAACTTATTTGGCCACAGAACCTTTCTGTTTGTGGAATATAATGTCCCATGTGTATTCCTAAGGGAAAAGGCTAAGGTGCTATAACAAAGAGATCCAATAATACAGTGATTTAAAGAATATTTCTGTCTTGTAAGTCAGTCCAGGCTGGGTATGCAGGCTGCTCTGCTTTGCACAGCCATTTTGGGTCCCAGGTTCCTTGCATTTCATTTTCCACTGCCCTAGAATGCTGTCTTTGTCGCTAATCAACATTGGCCACAGTCAAAAGTACATCTCAGAAATATCTGATTTCCAGCTGTGAAGAATGGGAAAGAGTTTGGAAGTTTGCATAAGCAATGTTTTAAAGCCCATCCTGCACATGGTACATAACACCTTCTCTTCTACTCTTTTGGTGAAAGCTTTGTTGCATGGCCATGCTAACCCATCAGGGAGTTGGGAACCTAGCTAGGAGGACATTGCCCTACCTAAACTTTATTACCATGTATCAGTGTCACCCAGCCAGCCTGCAGGAAGGCGGCGACTGGAATCCAGGTCTTCCAACTCCTGGGCCAGTATCAGCATCACACTAGCATTTGCTTACTCAGCCTATATGTATCAAGTACCTCTTGAGTTCTGGTTCCATGTCATAATGTGAAGACAGAAAGCTTTATAAAACATAGTTTCACAAATTATCTATAAAATATGTATCACTTGCATCTTTAATCTGACAGCAGATTTTACATATAAAGAAACTTTCATATATGGCTATTAAAGTAGCAAAAATTACAGATTTATACAATTTTTTAATTTTCCAGAAGACACATATTATAGGGATAAACAAACATAAAAGGAACAGAGAATCTTTAAATGGACCCAAATACATCTCAGAATTTAGAGTACAAAAAAATACATTTCAAATTAGTGCTGAATAAAAAAGATAAATTATACATGAAAATGGTTTGAGGACCACTGGCTAGCAGTATTGAAAATGATAAGAATAGGTTTTACCGCAGCCCTTAAGATAATTCATGTTATTTAAAGATGTGACTTAAAGAAATTATGAACGTCAAAACATTTAAAAATTAATCTTGAGAAAAATCTTTCCAAGCAAAAACTAAAACCAGAAGCTACAAAGGAAAATCTTAATAAGTAAGGTATGTCAGAAGCAAAATCTTACATATAGGAAGAAAAAACATGTAAAAATTCAAAAGATACATTTTCAAAACATATGACAATAGACTAATTTCCTTGAAATATAAATAACTGTTACGAATCAATAACAATTTTTAAATGGGCAAGACATGACTATATACAGGAAAAGAAATTCGAAATCCAATAAACATATGAAAACAATGAGGTATCTTTTTCACTATCTGATTGTACAATATTTAAAATTGATAATACACAGCATTGAAGAGAATATAGAAAAACTAGAACTGAGGTTGGGCATGGTGGCTCATGCCTGTCATTCCAGCACTTTGAGAGACCAAGCTGGGAGGATTGCTTGAGGCTGGGAGTTTGAGACCAGCCTAGGCAACATAGCAAGATCTAGTCTCTACAAAAAAAATAAATAAGTAAATAAAAATTTTAATTAAAAAGAAAAACCAAGCTGGGCGCAGTGGCTCACACCTGTAATCCCAGCACTTTGGGAGGCTGAGATGGGTGGATCCTCTGAGGTCAGGAGTTCGAGACCAGCCTGGCCAAAATAGTGAAACCCTGTCTCTACTAAAAATACAAAAATTAGCGGGGCGTGGTGGTGAATGCCTATAATCCCAGCCACTTGAGAGGCTGAGGCAGGAGAATCACTTGAATCTGGGAGGCGGAGGTTGCAGTGAGCAGAGATCACGCCACTGCACTCCAGCCTGGGCTACAAGAGTGAAACTCCGTCTCAAAAAACATAATAAATAAATTTTTTTAAAAAAGAAAAACCAGAACTATTATACACTATTGGTGAGAGTATAAATTAGTGTTAGCTTTTTAGAAGAAAATTTTCAATACTATCAAAATTTTAAAATATGTTTATAGTTTGATCTAATGATTTTACTTCTAGAAACATATTTTAATGGTATACAAATGAACAAAAATATGTATGTACAGGTGTTCATTTTAACATTACTTTTCCATAGAAAAACAAGTTTGGGGGTGCAACTTAAATGTCTGTGGTAGTATCAAAATTTATCCTCAAATTGATACTCCTCCCTTCAAAAAGGAGAGTCAAATTA